TCATTAGTAACAGTTGCTGTAATATGAATATTACATAGGTGATTATCCAAATTTTCGCCGTCAATGGGATTTGAACATCCAACCTACCACTTGGAGGGTTGACAACCTGACCACTTTACTAGGTTGCCACACCCTTACATTATTAATTTAATAAAACAAAAACATATAAATAAAATTAATAAAAGTCAAAAATTACAGTAAAGATAGGTAAAATAATAGAGTTAATAATTTTACAAATAAAAAAACTATAAATAAAAAGATAATATATATAAAAAAAATTATTTATAAATAAATAAATTACTATTTAAAATAAAAAAAAACAAATAAACTAATATACTAGCAGGACTTTTATGCAAACAAATAATAAATACTGAAATAAAACTAAAATATTCTAAAAAGAATTAATACAAAAAAAAATATTAATATAAACATCAACTTTTTCTGCTAATCATTTGTATACAAAATTGTAGGAAAATATTTAAGAAATTTATCAAAAAATGACTGTTTAAACTGATTTTACAGGTCTAAAGAAAAAGACAGAGCTCATAAAAAAGGTATAACTACAGGAGAAAAAAGGAAGTAGATAACTTAGACAAAGAAACAGAAAGAAAAATCTCCTGGTCAACATTTTGAAAAATAAAAATTTAGGGAATTTGCTATAATTTGAAAACATAAATCTGTAGATTATAGCAATATATAACAAATAAAAAAACAAACATGTGCACTGTTAGAAGTGCAATCAGGTTCAATTTGAATAGAGATAGACACAAGACATAAAAAATTTCAGAACAACAAATAACAACTAGAACTACTATAAAAACAAATATAGATAGTATACAAAATTGAAAAGAAAGCCTAATGTTAATTTATATTAAAAGAGCATATTAGGCAGCAAATAACATACACAATAAGGTGTTTTTCAACCAAGTGAGTAAGACTCTTGCAATATCAGATAAAAAAATAAATTGCCACTATGTTAACAGAACAAGATCCAACAAAAGTTGCCTTACTATATATAACTAGAAAAATAATTAACATAACAGAAAAAGAGCAGCTAGAAAAGAAGACTAGCATTAACAAACAAACCAAAAACATGGTCATAGATGAACCCATAACAAAACAGGAGCAAAACAAAGAAGTAGAGGTTTAACAACAGTCAATTAAAGCAGATAGAAACCAAGAAGAATCAGTCAAAATAATGCAAGAAAGAAAAACAGAAAAGAAAAAGGTAATGGAAAAGAAAGTACAAGACAGTACTAAAAACCTACCAAAAAAAGTAAACATAAAAGTAAGTCAGTTGAACAACAGTCAAGAAAGAAGAATCATGTCTATTCAAAAAAGAAATATAGAAGAAAAAAAAGAAAAGCAAAAGCAAGAGGTTACAGAAGCAAAACTTGAAAAAGAAATTAACATAGTTGGAAAACTTCTAAAATAAAGCATATGAGCCCTAAGCAAAAGAAGTTGTAACCAAAACAACAGCTTACTTGCCAATATATTAGTGATTTTAATAAGGCATAGGAATGATTTTACTGTCATGTGCATTTTGATTCAATAATCTGAGGACTGAACATTTCTGATTTGTATTACATATCTAATATGTTGTACTCTTTGTGCAACAAAAATGCTAACAATACTTTGACTATATTACTATCACTATTATTATAAAATAAGAATTCTAAAGCAGTATTCAAATTTTAGTTTTACTCATATATTTTTTTAAAACAAGTAAGTTAAAGTTTGCTATAATATTTTATTGTTACTAGTAAAAAAATATTTATGAAACTTTTATTTCTTATTTGCAAAGTTAAAGATCTGAATTTAAAGACAATAGTTTTGCAAATATAATTGTATAAAATAAAGCACTATATTTTAATTAAAACAAAACTTTACTATTATTATAGTAATAGACTTTGTTTAACATTAATAACAGTACTAAAAGTTTATATTATTTAATTTAGAAATAATGTTCAAGGTTTTGAATCACATTAAGTCATATGTCATACTCTTTGGTTCTTTATCTTTTTAATATCTAAGATAATTGTAAAAGTACAGTCTAGATTGTTAATAATAGCTTCTATATACCAAAAGTATTTGCATTTAATTTCTCATTAATATGGTCAACCAAATGCTACAATGCTACTATTTTTGATTCTATCTTTTGATGTCTTTCAGTAATATCTTCTTTATTTTTATTTGTAAGGTTTTAATTGAACATATTAACCTCATTATGCATTCTAAAAGCTTTTATACTTTTAGATATATTTTGTGATTCTTTTTGGTTCTAAATTAAAAAAGAATAGTCAGTTTGTTGTATAAAATTTGAATAAATTAATTGAATACCTTGAGGTTCTGATTTTTCTAATGCTTTGTAAATTAGATGCTTGCATATGAGAAAGCAGCTTTGAAGAAAATAATGAACAGTTACAAATTCAATGTTCTAAATCAATAAAATATTGACTTTCTGTAGTATTAACTGGCTTGGTAAAAAGATTTCTCCATTCTTTCTTAAATTCTTCAAACCATAATGGCATTATTCTGTCAGTTAATAATTGTTAAAGATGATTAGCTTGATTAGATACAACATATGTGCAAATAATTTATATTAGATAGTCAAGTCATAGGTAGTTAAATTGGTAGAGATAACAATGTTTTAGAACCCTCCAATGTGCTTTAATCATCATATTAGTTTTGTCAAGTGGTATAGTTGTTCTTAAAGAATGTGCCTACAAATATCACTATGTTGATTTATATTAAGAAGATCATAGGTAGATCTATAACAATACTAGATTATTTGCAATACAAAATTTATATATTTCAAAAACTGCTTTTGTTCTTATTTTTTTAGGAGAAAGAAATTAATCATTATTAGTAGATATTTTAGGATGCATATTAAAATAGTTTTTAACTATTTCAACAACAGTTTTATGAAAAGCAAAGGGGCAAACTATATAGTATTCACTATTTGTATGCTGCAAATCAGATATAAAAGAAGAATTTATGAAAGTAAATTCTTCTTTTATAACTTTTTTATAATTATAGTTTAACTGCTTAATTTTTTTATAACTTTTTAATTTTTCTTTAAAAGCTTTGTCAATATGCTATTAACAAAGCTGTATGTTACTTGTAGGTTATACATTTTTCACAGTATTTATTTTAGCAAAGTTTTTATCTATATAAAAATAGATTAGATTTAGGCCTTGATCATAAAGAGAATAAAAAAAGCCAGCTAGTACATTGGTTTGTAACTCTTACTGATTTTATTTTTTTGAGCTTTTAATGTATTTAAAATTAAATATGCCAAGAGAAAACCAGCACCTTCAATATTACCAACAATGCCATAAAGTTCAAATTTTCTCTTAAAAGTCTTATAGGTGTTATCATAATGTATTTCTAAATAATTTGATTAGTTAGACAGTTTCTGGTTAAGCAGTTTAGTTGTAAAGCCAATGGCTGTTGTATTATTGGTTTCAAGCTGATAGCATAATTTACATTCATTTTCCTATTGCTAGTTAAAATCTTACATGCTAAAACAATATAATTTTCATTCTTTCTATAGAACTGTTATGTATGATATGACTACTAATAATGAATCTGCTTTGATGTAATATTAGATAAGTTAGATAGCATTATAAAATTAACAGGTTTTTCATAAAGAAATTTGTGTTTTAAAATTATTTTTGTCTCTGTTGCTAGAATATTAATTTTAATTAATATTTTATTTTTATAGTTATAATAGAAGGTTCTTTCACAACTTGAATCCTTGAATTCATACTCAAGTTCAAAACTTTGAGAGTATAAGAAATAAGCATTTTCAATACTGAAATAACAAGCTAAGAGGTTTGGTGCAGTTGTAGCTCTATTAGCAAATGCAATTAATTATTATAAGATTAATAATACTTTAATACTAAGTAAAATTTATTGATTTTAGTATATATTTGTTGTAGAATTATTTTTTTTAGACTTTGAACTATTTTATTAAATAACTCTATAATTATTTAGATTTGACCAACAAGCATATACACAAATATATACATTTAAGCAAAAATTTATATTGTATAATTAAAATTAACATATATCTAATTATAGTTATTGCCTTCTTCTATTTTGTCAATAATTAATTTGGCCATAATTCTAACATCTGCATCAATATCTTTAATAGTTGCCTTATTGCATTGAACACGGAAAATAAGAGAAAGTTCAGCATGATCATTAAAATCATTAATTATATTGGTGATATAATTACTAATTTTTTGGATAGAAATTATTTTGATAAATGCTTGTTTAAGATCAGAATCATCAAGTGATTTATTTTTTTTGGCATTTCTCTTTTTAGCTCTTGAAATTCTACAGTAGTTACAAGTATCATAATATTTACCATTAAATAAGAATATATCAAAAGAAAGAACATCTGCACAAGTGCTACAGATAGGCATTATTCTAAGTGTAATTTATTATAGAAAATTATATAGTTTTGAAGTTTTGATCTAATTGTTAGAATTTATTTTGGCTTAAGAGCAATTTTAATATTTCAATAATCAGATAATTAAATTGGTTCAAAATTTTTAGTTTATTTTTGACAAAATATTAATTATGAAAACTCTAAATAGCTAATAAGAAAGATGGTGATTTATAAATATGTTTATTCACTTTTAATTTAGAAATCTGGTTTAACAATTATCTGAAGATAATCAAATAGTATAAAACAAACTAATGATCAATTCATTTGATTAAACAGAATGTAAATAAATAAAATAGTATTATTTAATTTATTTGAACATAATTAAAAATAACTACTCAGGATTTGATTGATTTAGAATAGTCAAAATGCATATAAAAACATATATATTATTCAATATATTAAATATGTATAAAATTTAGAGTTTGATTTAGAATAGTTAAAATGCATATAAAAAATATATATATTATTTGATATATTAAATACACATAAAATAAGAGTTTATTTTTGTTTTATGCATATTTATTTATCTGTATTCTGACTTTAATAGATTTAATTATTTGATCATAAATTGAATCAGTTCAGAAATTATTAATTTAATTTACAATTTAAGCAGAAGTTCTTTATTTTAAATTTATGTTTGTGTTCAATTATTAAATATGCATATTGTTTATAAATATAGTCCAATTTTACTGCTATTTATTTTTTGATTACCTTAAATTGTATATGTAAATTAAATGTTTTCAATATTATATAATCTTAATTGTTATTTCAATCAGTAATTTAAATATATAACTTATATTGACTTATAAAATATCAGTTTTCTAAAAAATATGCATTTTATCAAGTAATTAAAATTATAAAAGTCTAAATTATTGTGAATATCATCTTATGTAAGACATCTTTTGAAAGGGGGTGTGGCAACCTAGTGAAGTGGATAGGTTGTCAACTCCCAAGTGACAGGTCTAGAGTTCAAATCCTAGTGACGATGAAAATTTGCAATTCTTTCTGTATTATGGCTAACTGTCTTCCATGATTGGTTGGGATAGGATACCTGTAACCTGTGT